AGGAACATCTTACAAATATTTGCTGAATGTTAGCTAAGTACCAAAGGATCATTTAAAATGTTTAAATTATTGAGAAGTGTTTATTCTAATAGAATATGTGGCTATCATATTGCATAAGTCATTAATAGTAGTGCTCTTAATAAGCAACTGGACAATTTTAATGCAAAGAATTAAAGACAAATACCAATTAATCATCAAAAATATATATTTAGCATCTATCAAGTTCAAGAACTGTTCTTGATGCTCTAAGATTTAACAAACCAGGAAGACTTTTTCCCCATTCTCAAAATTCAAACAATTCAGTTTTGGGGGAAATATAAATATACAATCACATATATATACATAAATACATACACATGCATATTTATCTTACAGTATAAGGGTGTGAAAATAGTGTCTGACATTTATTGGGTCCTCATTACAGAGCAAGCACTGAAAGCACTGAACCAAGAACTTTATAGGGATCACCTTATTTAATTTTTACAGAAATCTATGAAGGGAAATCTATTATCATGTTTATTTTGCAGATAAAAAAACATTTTATGGCTCATAGGAGTCAAATACCTAGCTCATAGTCATCCAGAGAGCCAGGATTCAAGTCCAGCTCTGTCAATATCATCCTTTTGGTGTTTTATAAATTCAATGGAGTAGTTGAAACTGTAGGCTTTAGAAGCTAAATGCCTGGTTGTGAATTGTGGCTTTCCCCATTCCTTGTTAGGTGACCTGGGGCAAATGTTTTACCCTCCAATAATAGTCACAGGTTTCAGAGAGTTAGAGGTGAGTTTGGAGAAAAGAGGCATGGCACAGAAGTGGTGACAGGAGGAATGTGAGTATGCCTGAGGGATACTGGCTGGTACAAAGATGAGATGCTGCATAGCCATGGAAACTAAACCTGGAATCAGAGAGAAAGCAGATTGTCATGAGTCTTACACACAAAAGCAAAGGGTTCTCGTCTCATCCTGTAAACAATTGGGAGGCATTAGAATTTGACCATAGCAGCTCCAATTCATATGTTCTATGTATGTGTGTGTGTGTGTATATATATATATATATATACACATATAAATAAATAAATAAATATATATATATATATATTTATCATTTAGGCCTGAAAATATACTACCCTCAAACTTTCTAGGTCTGTCTTAGAGATTTAAGTGCTTCAACACAATACAAGGTACTGATGATCTTACTATTAATTCTATAAAGTATTAATCATAACTTGGAGGATAATTCAGAATGGCTGTTAAAATATCTAGTGAATAAAGTAAGTATATCAGAAACAATAAAGCATGCACAAGCTTTCTTCACATTTTCTGCTTCCGTCAACCATCAGCAAATGAGATGGAAGGAAAATATCAAAAGACAGAAATTGTCAGTGTACTCTTACTGAATTACTTGCTATTCTAAACGACTTGTTTTGAAGCTAGCTAATTTGATTAATTGTCAGTAGACATGTGAAGACAATCTTTGGCAGGCAGCTCCATATCCCCAGAAATATATTTTCCATGTTATCCTATATATAGCAGTTAAGCAAATACATTTTTACCTCTCTCATGAGACCAGCCTTTGAGAAGTAACTCAATGTATTTAGGCTGTGAGAAAATAAACTCTCTATATTCTCATGATTTCCACATCACACATCCTTCAGTGCTCTTTTTTTCTAAAGCGATTGCAAAATGCTTGTTGTCTCTCTAAATATTATATGGGATTAATATAATAATATAATATCCCATATAATCTAATATATGGGATTAAAACTCTTGAACTTCACCTAAGATTTGAAGAAAACATGAATTCTACTATAACTTGATCTTTTAAATGTGCAAAGTATTAGACCATTTGCTAAAATCATTCCTGCAAAATGAATAATCTTGTCTCACTCTTTATCTAAGTGGCTTAGGAGATTTTGATGGTTTTTGTTTTGTTTTATATCACCTCAGTAAAGTTTAATTGTAACTGCAAATCCTCAAAGCAGTGAGCTGTGGCAAATATTACACCTATTACAGATTGACAGTGAAGACCTGAAGATGTGTTATGATTTCCACTCACAGGCAACTTTAGAATGGCAAGATTCTCACCTTTCCTTCTTTATGCTCTATCATCTTTCTTCTAAAGTCCTACTACAAATTTTTAGGGGGAAACTATTCTAACAATAAATTAACACAAAGTGTCTGACATTTATATTTTGTTTTAGAGGAGATGCAAATTTCCATAATCAAATCCAAATTTGGAAGAGATTTTGTCTAAACAAAGCTTTTAACATGTTCATGTACATTTCAGAATCTCCAAGGTGAGGTAATAGGGGCAGCATTTTGTAACTTATTTTATCATAGGATTTCCTTTCACAGCCTACCTGACAGGACTAGGGTTCCAAGAAATGCACTTTGGAAACTGCTGAGGTGGAGCCATAGAGGGCATGCCCATTTTCTCTTGTGGTTGTATACTTGGCTGACCTAAAGAAGACTTGGTTTCCTGAATTGATATTTTTAATTAATGTGACCTGTGTAAACCCAAGGAATGATTCCAATCACAGAATGGGATCTTCCAGCTCCTGGTTTTTGACACAGAGCCCCAGGCCTGCAGATCACCTCAGGCCTTTTCTGACTTGCCTACTTGCTTGACTGTGCTCTGAAGGAATTCAGGAGCGGAACTGCTGCCATCTGCAGAGACTTTGAATCCAGGCTTGAAGAAGGAACACTGCAGCTGATTCAGAAGAAGGTTCTTCCAGGCATTTTCCCAGAATCTGTCTCCCTGGAGATTATACAGGCCTCTTAGCTGAGCAAAGGCTGCAGCACCACGGTGCTGGATCTTCTGGAACCATTTTACTTGAGATTCAGTAATAGAAAAATAGAAGGAGAGGGGGTGTCTTACTGTTTCTTTTTCTTTTCTTTTCTTTTCTTTGAGAAAGAGTCTTGCACTGTCACCCAGGCTGGAATGCAATGGCACAATCTCTGCTCACTGCAACCTCCGCTTCCTGGATTCAAGCGATTCTCTTGCTTCAGTCTTCTGAGTAGTTGGTATTAAAAGTGTCTGTCACCACATCTAGCTAATTTTTTGTATTTCTAATAGAGAGGGGCTTTCACTATGTTGGCCCAGCTGGTCTTGAACTCCTGAACTCATGATCAGCCCACCTCGGCTTCCCAAAATGCTGGAATTACAGGCTGAGCCACTGCACCCGGCAACAAACTGTTTCTTTAAAGGGAAGAAAAACCTTGATATCTTAGGTACTTATGAATGAAAAAGGCAATGAGTCATAAAATCTTATATGTTGTTACTTTTTGCTAACCCAGTTGCTTTACCAATATGGCTTTCATTTCCCGAATATTAAAATGAACAAATATATATATATATACACACACACACATACACACACACACACTGTTGATATGCTTCATCTCATGCTGTGAGGATTTGATGAGGTAATAATATCTGTTACAATTTAAATTTATCCTACAATGTTTTGCCTTCAAGCAAGTCGCTTTACTTCTCTAGGCCAATTTTCTGAAAAACATGGTAATAGTGTTTTTCCTGAGCTATGTCTTAAATTGGTAGTGAGGAGTTGTGAAGATGAATGTTCTTTTAAAACCAAATATAATTGTATGTCTTTCAAGATTTTTTAACAATCAAAATATGGTTTTCAAGCCAAAGAGAAACCCTTCTTTATAGTGTTTATGGGAATAATAAACCATGTTAGCTAATCTTTCACAGAGGTTAGCTTAGCGTCACTTTCAAATGGGAAATAAAGTTGGTAAGGTTAACTTAAATGGACATTTTTGGTTACAATGTGAGCCTCCATCAACTGTTTAAACAAAATAAAAATGTATATGTGAAAGTATAATAGTTGTTTCTTTAAGCTCTCATTTCTGGACAGCTCTCATTTTTTTATTTTCAGCATTTGAATTTATTTTATTGATATTCATTAGTGAATAAAATTTTGTTGATTTTAAATTCATTATGACACACTTTTTGCTAGTAGTCGCACAATGTTGATCATTTATTTATTACTATACTAAATACTTGACCCTCTGAATTGCCAATTTTTACATGGTGTTTCTGGTAATGGTGGGTGGCTCCTCTCTCTGAATACATAAAATGGTCCATTCAGTCCATGGTTTTCATATTCATTTGCTATTCTACCTACTGCTCTAAAATACATTCAGATAAAAATATATGTTACTTGCAGTGAGTGCACACATAAAACAGCAAGGACAGCTGAAAACATAACTCACCAATACTCTTGTGTTCAGAGAATAAGGAGTCTGAAACTGTGGGACTGAAGTTTGTTTCTTAGGGACTTTCTCCAAGTATCCTTGGTAGACATAAGGTTTCTTGATTCTTTGCGTTTTCTGTTTATTGAAAGCATTCACCTAAAGCTCCTGTGACAGTGATGGTATTCAGGGTTGCCATATCCTTGTATCTGAGTCACGGTATTGTTGAAACCCAACAAAACACACATCTCTCAGTCATTCCTGAAAGTGTTCCTGGCTGCAGCTGTCGAGTGCCCTTTCCTGGTTCCTCCATTCCTGCTGGCAGCTGGTTCATTCTGCTCTTTGGCGCTGCTCTGAGTTCTGATACTTTGGAGGTGCTGCGCCTTGGGCCTCAGACTTGACCTGAACAGGCTCTTCTTTCCTCTCGGTTTTCCCTGACATGCGGCTTGAACTCCACTTGTGACTCTGCTAAAAGTTTGACCCTGACACAATTCTGAAATTAGCTAACAGAATTAGATACCCCAAACAGACTTAGTATGGAGGATGGTGGTAGGTGTGGGAAGGGAGACCTCATGGGTCATGGGCATCAGGTAAAGATAGGTGTATGGCTGCTATAGCAGATTACCATAAACTTTGTATATTATATGACAGTTCTGGAGGCAGGAATTCTGAAATGGGTCTTATGGGGATAAAGCAAGGTGCTGGCAGAACTGCGTCTTCTTTGGAGGTTCTAGGGGAGTCTTTCCAGTCTCTAGAGGCTGCCCAGATTCCTTGGGTCCTGGCTGTGTAACAACCCTGCTTCTGCCATCACATTTCCTCTTCTGACTCTCCTACCTCTTTTTTCACTTATGAGGACTCCTGTGATTATATTGGGCTCACCCAGAGATTCCAGGATCATCTCCCCATCTGAAGATACTCAACTTAAAATCACATCAGCAAAGTCCCTTTTACTACATAAAAGAACGTAATTACCGGTTCTAGAACTTCACTGGGCAGTGTGACGTTGGCCATCATTTGGCCAATATGAAAGGGAAAGAACTGAAAGTGGAGAAAGGTGAGTCAGGACCCTGAAAACCCAACTGTGATGGTTACTATTAAATGTCAATTTTATTGTATTGAAGGATGCAAAGTATTGTTCCTGAGTGTGTCTATGAGGGTGTTGCCAAAGTAGATTATCATTTGAGTCAGTGGGCTGGAAAAGGCAGACCCATCCTCAAATTGGGTGGGCACCATCTAATTAGCTGCCAGAGTGGCCAGAATGAAAGAGACAGAAGAAGGCCAGGCGCGGTGGCTCAAGCCTGTAGTCCCAGCACTTTGGGAGGCCGAGGCGGGTGGATCACGAGGTCGAGAGATCGAGACCATCCTGGTCAACGTGGTGAAACCCCGTCTCTACTAAAAATACAAAAAATTAGCTGGGCATGGTGGCGTGTGCCTGTAATCCCAGCTACTGGGGAGGCTGAGGCAGGAGAATTGCCTGAACCCAGGAGGCGGAGGTTGCGGTGAGCCGAGATCGCGCCATTGCACTCCAGCCTGGGTAACAAGAGCGAAACTCCGTCTCAAAAAAAAAAAAGAAAGAGACAGAAGAGCATAAAAAGATGAGACTGACCTAGCCTCCCACCCTACATCTTTCTTCAGTGCCAGATGCTTCCTGCCCTAGAACACTGGACTTTAAGTTCTTCGGGTTTGGAAATCGGACTGGCTTCCTTGCTCCTTACCTTGCAGACGGCCTATGCCATATGGCTTGCAGACGGCCTATGGTGGGACCCTGTGGTCTTATGAGTCAATACTCCTTAATAGAATTCTCTTTATATATAAATCTATCCTATTAGTTCTGTCCCTCTAGAGAACCCTGGCTAATACACTAACCAGCCCCACAGAAACAGCGTCATTGTCACCATTTGAATGAGTTTCTCTTCCTGCAGGCCTCGCTGCTCCTCTCCCAGCCCTGCCTGCTCTTTTTTCCACTGAATGGAAACTCTTGTGAAGTTCATCACAAAGATAATGAGCTAATCTCAGTTAATGTACTCTTCAGGCAGGTCTATGTGATCACCGTGATCACCGAGGCTTTCTATAGAAGAGATGACCCACTTTTATTGACCTCGCCAGTGAGTGAGTTAACCACTGAGAATTTGTGGCCAGATAGAAAGAGAGAGAGACCCCACTGCGAAGATGTTTTACTCAGAGATTTTCTCAAGTTGTTCTCGGCAACAAGTTGCCTTAACCCACCTCCGCTTCTGCAGGGGTGGCTCTAGAGACAGAATTGTTTTTCCAACTGAGCAGAAAGATACTCCCAGGTCTTTCCTAGCTATAGTTTCCTCTTATATTCATGAAGAAAACTGTTCACCTTGGTGTCAACTAACGATTTAAAGGTCACCAAAAACATTAGCCACACTGCTTGAATGATAATATGGAAAATGAGGCTGTTCCTAGCAACGTTTCACATGAATGAAATGACCCAGCTGTGGAGAGGGGCTTACTCTTCCCTGGCAGTCAGCTTTTCTCACACCGCTTCTGGCCACGCTGCTCCCTCTGAATGCAATGCTTTTTCACCTGGCTGACGTTTTCCCATTTTTGCTTTTGTTTTTCTTTAAGATTCATAGGCATCACTTGTCTCTGGGAAATCTTCCTTGACTGCCCTGTTCTGAGTGCTTGAATTGGATTCTGATTCTTATTTCTATCCTGGCCTTCATCACATTACCATTTATGTGGAAGCCTTTCACTAGACTGTGAAGTCTCAAGGCGAATCATGAGCTCCAGTCATTGTGGGATCCTCAGTGGCATTCAGTCATGGCTGCATGAGCAGAAGAAGGAGCTCTCCTAGCACTGGCAAGCTACAGCAGTAGAAGGTCAGAGACATGGGGCAATACACACTAATGCACTGAGAACCTGGGAAGAACACCCAGGAAAGGAAGGAGAATTCCAACAGTGACAGGAGGAGGGACACAGACCTGGGAGATGACATCACCCATTTATATTTGCCTGGAAATAATTTAATGAGACACTACTCCTTGCCATGTTCCCCTACCTCCACCAAATGCCTGGCATACACAAGAGGACTTCATATGTGTTTTTTGATTGACTAATTGTCTAGTTTTGGCTCAATATGCCTCAAGAGGCAAAGCCTAAGTCAAGGTTATGTAAAATACATCTTAATGTATTTTATGGTGATTCTGTTAAAGCATCATCACATAATCCGATCCTTTTAAAGCGTCATCATCACATGTAGAGAGAGGCTCAACATGTATTAGCTCCCTACACTGAGGGGACTCCAGTGGTAGCTGATGTGCCCCAATAATAAAAGTATAAACAAGATGAAACCTTTCCTCAATCTTGTCATTTTCAACGGAAGAAACAGAAAAAAAATATTCAGTAAAAATGATGCAACAATATATATTAAGAGTTGGTCTGCCCTTAAGGAGAGTGGAGAATATGCCCAATTGTCTTCCTGGGGTCCAGTTCAGACCACAATAAAACTGGGTCACTGGAAGAAGAGATAACATGGTTTCCAACCTAACATCTATTAAAATCTCTCTCACTGGGTAACAGTCAAGAAGTATAGCCTAAGAGGATGTTTCAAGAATGTAATCATCCCCCTTATGAGGGGGTGGCCTTATCAGAGTAAGGCTTAGAAATTTTGTGCAATGGACACAACAACCTGCTATGTTTACGTAGATATCTCTCCCGCAAAGGATAAGCCAGCCTAGGGATGAAGCTAATATGCAAAAGAGGCAGAGTCAAGAAAACCACAAAGAAATAGAACAGAAACTTTATTTGAGCTACACCTGAAGCCTTCCTATCTTAGTACTTCTCAGTTCTGTCAATCAACATAGACTACTTATCATGTTTTGTTTTGTTTTGTTTGAGACAGGAGATTGCTCTGTCACTCACATTGGAGTGCAGTGGCACAATCTTGGCTCACTGAAACCTCTGACTCCTAGATTCAAGCAATTCTCCTGTCCAGCTAATTTTTTATATTTTTAGTCAAGGCAGGGTTTCACTGTGTTAGCCAGATGGTCTTGATCTCTGGGCCTTGTGATCTTCCTGCCTTGGCCTCCCAAAGGGCTGGGATTACAGGTGTGAGCCACCACACCCAACTGATTACTTATCTTTTACCTAGCTCTAGTTGAGTTTCTGAGCTTGCTACAAAACATATTTTGAGAGGTACTAGAGAAGCATCTATGTCTCCTTCTCATATGTCCTCTAACTGGCCTCTTGCACAGAAGTGTGTAGGGAACCTCATGGAAAGCATTAAAATTACAAATGTCCATAAGAAATACATGATATGGAAAAAAAAGCAATATTGGCATAGAACACCAGACACCAGACATGAATGCTACTACAATGCAAAAAGGATCACAATAACAAAAATTCAGGTAAAATCTATGGATGGAGGAAATCATTCTTCTTTCAAAGTGATCTAAGGATTGAATGTGACCCTATCTGGTTGTGGATAAAGAACTCAAAATGCAGTCATGTACTTAGTGGAGGGAACAGGAGCATTTAAGAATCAGCGAAGGCTGAATTATTTATCTGATCACTCAGTCAGTGATCATCACTGACAGAGTAAATGTGGAATTTTCACTAAAGAAGTACTTTTCATTGAAAGCAAATATGATTCACCAGCATAAATATGGAAAAAGAAACAACAGGTGGTGACTACGACTTAAGACATTCAATTTCCATGAGTCAGTGAAGCCAGATGGCATGAATCTGAGAATTCCGAAAAAAATTAAGATCAAAGCATTTTAGACACTAACAATATAGGCAACTTATCACATAAAGCAACTATCAGAATTAGGAAGCTGGCCAAGTATATTTCATGGCATTATTTGGAGAAGCACAAATTGTTCAGGCAATTCAATTAATTCAATGAAACCTAACAAATTTATTAAGCACCAAGTGCAAATCGCTGTTCTAGGCACTGGGCACTCACAGGTGGTTAAGACAAGGTCAGATCCTCTATGATCTCCTAACTGAGAAGATTGCTTCTTTGTTGGTAGCTACCAAACATTCGCAATGTCAAACATATGCAATGAATTTATGAACAGAGCAATATTTAAAGAATTTTCTTATACTTTTTTTTTGAAGGCGAATTGGCTAAGGATCAGATGCAGATCACTGAAACCATTCTAGCTAGGTTCATCATAGTAGATTTGGGGGCTTTAATATTTGTGGAAGCACTGGGGAATAAGCCCTAAGCAGAGCTCCCAGGAACAACTTCCAGAACGTCCAGAACAACAGTCTATAATGAGCCTCCCTGGAAGACACTGCCTTTACCATGATCAGGGGGCTCGGGAAGCAAGAGGCTGCTAGCTCCGGAACCACTATGCCAGCTTGTCCACAACCTCTGCCAGCAAAATGAATGCTTCCCATGCTGCCTGTTCACGCTGTGAAGCTAACATTGGACATTGGAAACTCTGCCACAGCTACTGCAAAAGAAACAAACACCCCTAAGGATAGGCTTGCCAGTGGAAACAGCTGAAGCAACAGAAGCATGGAATTGGCCACAGGATGTGCACTTCCATCTTTCAAATCTCAGAGAGGCTACATTTGATAAGGCAGCTGTAAATGAATCTGGGAAATGCAGATTTTAGCAGTATCGCATCATAGTGCAGTATCATACATCCAGGCACGCTGAAAGGGAGTGGAGTGGAGGCTGAGTGAAAACTCACAGACTCTGCCACCGAAGACTAGATTACCTTCCTTCCTATTCGCAATGTAGCACTTCTCTATCCAGAACAAAACAGCTCTTCTCCTTGCCTCTCCTACTTATTATCATCACCATCTACCCAACTGACTAAACGGAAGCCTTTGAGTCAGCATCTGCCTTTCCCTGAATTCTGTCTCAGTTACCACTGCCTTTGTTTAGAGTCTCTTCGCCCTTTAGATAATTACTAAGTTTCTTTACTAGTAATCTAGCAAATTCTTTAAAAAAAAAAAAAAAAAAGAAAGAAAGAAATTAAACTGAGGATGGGTGCGGTGGCTCATGCCTGTAATCTCAGCACTTTGGGAGGCTGAGGTGAGCAGGTCACCTGAGGTTAGGAGTTCAAAACCAGGCTGGCCAACATGGTGAAACCGTGTCTTTACTAAAAATACAAAAATTAACCAGCCATGGCAAAGTACTTCTGTAATCCCAGCTACCCTAGAGGCTGAGGTGGGAGAATTGCTTGAACCTGGGAGGTGGAGTTGGCAGTGATCTGAGATTGCACCACTGCACTCCAGCATGGGTGACAGAGTGAGACTCTGTCTCAAAAAAAGAAAAAAAAAAAAACTGAAACCATTCTAGCTAGGTTAACAAGAGTAGATTTGGGAGCTTCCATTGCCCTGACTTCTAAAATTGTCTTTCTAAAATCAAAATCTCATCTTGTCACTCCTTTGTATCAATACAAAACCCTCCCCAAGGCTCCCAATTTCCTGCAAGATACCATCTAAGCTTCCTGGCTGGGCAATCAGAATCCTTCCTTATTAGAAATCAGCCTACCTCAACCTCCCCTCTCCTTCCTTTTACCTCTGGGTAAAAGTCTGGGGATTAAGTCTGCACTTCTCATTATTCCTCAGATACCCATCTATAACTGTGTCCCTACATAGCCTTGTTTTTCATCCTGGATTGTACTTTATCACAGTGAATGAACTTGTATTCATTCTTCAAAACCCAGAGCGAATGTTAGTTTCCCAAAGACAGGTCATCTTTCTTTTCCCTTCCCCGCTGTAACATATTTCTCACACCGCTCTTGGAGTGTGCTTCACAACATATACATTTTTTTCACGCCATGCATCCTCCACTGAGAGTGCCTTCAAGGTACACACAGTGTCATCCAGATACCCTTCTGTCTTCTAAATGGACCACAGAAGTTGGTGCATTAGAAAATTTAAATGAGTATTTACTGGATGGCCAGATGAGGAACATATAAAAGCATTCTAGGACATTTTAGGCTGGATGCAGTGGTTCATGCCTGTAATCCCAGCACTTTGGGAGGCTGAGGTGGGAGGAATGCTGAGCCCAGAAGTTTGAGACCAGCATAGACACCATATAGAGACCCTGACTCTGCAAAAATTTTTATTGCAAAATTAGCAGGGCATGGCGATACAAACTTGCAGTCCTAGAGGTTGACATGAGAGGATCTCTTGAGATCAGGAGTTCAAGCTATGATCACACCATTGCACTCCAGCCTGGCAACAGAGTGACACCCTGTCTGCCTGGGGGGATAGGGAAGGAGACATTTTAAAATAAAAGAGAACTCAAAGACTTAAAAATATAGGAACCTATTTGGCAAAATAATATTCTTATCTTACCTAATTTCAAGAGAAAAAATGCTGTCAGGGGAATAGGTAGAGCGTTCTTTCTAAGGTCTGTTCAGTCTATAAAAAAATGTAAACTTGGCAGCTTGACTTGAAACAGTCAAGATGAGCATACACGTGCTCATTGGCTCTCTACCCAGAGTGAGCCAGCAAAATCCCAGACTCCCATATACGGTTTTTCGTAGACTATGTATATATTTCGATTTATAGTAGCTGGATGGCTCTAGGGAAAGCTATTGGCTATCATGTAAAACCCAATAGAAAAAGAATCTGCCAGATTCCAGTGGGAGCTTGTTAAGGCAAAGAACAGCTAACCTCCTTCTTGTTGTATTAATTCAAATAATTATAAGGAAATTATTACCCAAAAATGCAACAAGGAGGGCCATAGGCCTAGATTTGGTCCCAAAAAGAAAAAAGCAAAGGCGTTTGATTTATGTCATTCTTATGTTTTAGAGCATAGTTTCCCAAAATGTATGCTAGAGAATACTGCCTAGAGGGTTTGTGGTTGAAGGAATCTGGTGAGCACACCATGTTATCGTCACAGAACATGGTACAGACTGGCATAGTAAGCCTCTGAGAAATTCTATGAAATGTTGTTTTAATCAGGTTTCTAAAACATGTGTGGCTTCTCTTGAATTTGTTTAACCACGATTAACATCCAGCAGGGCTAATGCTCATTACTAATGTAGGAAATGGACAGAAACAAAACAATTTTTTAACAGAAAGTTAAAACTTGTGGTATTGTTATTGGAATGAAAGGTTTAGACTGGAGTAGCCCTCCAATTAAAAAGAAGAAGGAGGAACAAAACAAACCAGAGAGTGCTCAGAAGGATGGTCCCTCCCTGTCATGGGTTGAAAGGTGGCCCCCCAAAAGAGATGCCCAGGTCCTAATCTCCGGAACCCGTGAATACAACTGTAAATGGTGAAAGTGAGTATTACCTTACATGGCAAAGATGTAAGTAAGTTAAAGATCTTAGAGGAGGAGCTTACACTGGAATATCCAACTGGGCCCTAAATATAATCACATATCCTTATAAGACAGGCACATAGAAGAGAAAGTTATATAAAGACAGAGGCAGAGGGTCGAATACACGGATAGGCGCCAGAATCTGGAAGAGTCCAGAAAGGGATTCTTTCCTAGAGCCTGTGGAAGGAGTGTGCCCTGCCAACATTCTGGTTTCAGACTTCAGGCCTTCAGAACCATGAGAATATATTCGTGATGTTTTAAGCCGCTAAATCTGTAGCAATTTGTTCCAGCCCACCACAGGAAGGTAACACACTTCCATCAAGCAACTCTCTGACTGAGGAACTAAGCAATGTCGCCCGGCTCCACGATGTTCCCAAAGGTAAGGGATGAGCTCGCCACTTCCACCTCTGGCATCCCAATATTGTTTAATAACCTGCTCTAGTCCTTCTTGAACCTATTTATATATAATAGCCTACATAATACCTTGAGGCAATGAGTTTCATAAATTTACTACCCACTGTGAATAGCATCTTGGTGTATGGGCTTTTTTATGGTGCAGTGCATTTTCATGATGAATCCATTTGTCCCTTTTTTCAACTTTTGCTTAATGCTTCTATCATTAGCTTAAATAAATGTGGGAGACAATTGAACTCCACTAAATAGGACAAAGGTCAGAGAGGAGAGCTTGAAGCAGTTAGACCATATTCATGAGCTACATAAAAGGCAGCTCTTCTGAAGTTGAAGGCTTTTGTGGAAAGGGCCCTGTTTTAGAGGGCTGAGATTCAAACTGGACGACGTGTCAGAGGATGACCTTGCAGGCAAATATTCATCTTGGGAGCATTTCAAGAAAAGATGACCCAGACACAAAAATCAGAGTCATAGAAATTACACTCAGCACAGGGATCCACTTCTGTGGGATAATAAAAAACACTTTCTTTTGGTTTTTAAGAGTAAAATGACCACATCTATAGATTAATATTACTGCATAAGCCCTGATGAGATTGGTAGAGGAAAGGTCTTAAAGATGATGCCCAAAGATATGTCTGATTGCTTGTTTTGACATGTAGTTCTACTTGCCACCAAAAGAGTCCAATTTATAAAAATAAAACATTAATTTAATGAAAGGATTGATATTCAGAGTCAACATATTTAGGTGCCAAATAGATATTATAAAGCAAAGAATATAAAACTTTGGTTACTCAGTATTAGTTAAACCTTACTTTAGAATCTAGGACATTTATCCATATAAACTTTAATGTGCAGGAAAATCTAGGTAGTAAGTTACAAGTGGAGGTACCTGGGTAACCCCAGTGTTTCTGATTCAGTAGGTACAGAGAAAATATGGATGATGGGGAGAGTGATATGTATTGAGAAATGATTTAAGATGTGTATATTAAATTTTCACAGTGTAGTGGCCAGTTCCCTCCTACCCTCCTAAACATGCTACAATGTGAAATGGGGTTAAGAAGGGAAAAAAGAATGCATACAATGAGAGAGAGAGAGAGAGAGAGAGAGAGAAAGAGAAAGAGAGAGAGAGAGAAATTCAAATCTCTGGTACCAATAGACAGAGTTATTAAAATTATTAAATACATTTATCTGTTCAACCTACCATCTTAATCATCTTAAAAACAATTATGTTACAAATTCAAATGACATCTCTTTCACAAATCTTTATACTCTCAAAAGAGACTTACAGACTCAAAAAAAAAGTAGTTGTTAACAATTTAGTGAGGAGTTGCTGTGTGCCAACACTGTTTCAAGTGCTTTAGGCACAATAACACATTTAATTTTCACAATGCTATGAGGTAGATGCCACATTTATCCCTTTCACAGATGAAGAAAAGGAGGCCAGATTTTGATCAAGTTTTCAAGGTCACACTGCTAGGAAGCTATGGAACAGGTATCTGAACTCAAGCAGCCTGTCCTGGAAACTTAATAATCAGCCATATGCATTTTTTAAACATTTGCTTTTCATCACTTCATTTATTGAATTTTAAATCTGCATATAGGATTTAGCCATTAAAAGAATTCTACGTGGCTATTTTATTTTTCTGTATTATTTTTAGCCGTATTCTAGATGGATGAACTTTGAATTAGGACATTGATTCTCTCCTTTTTGACCTGCCAAGGTTGGATCACTAAGTAGAACTGTTTTGAAACTCTAGAATAGAATAGGACAGTTGTCAATTTCATACTAGAGCCCTCTAGACCAAAGACACCCTCACTGCATGTGAGGTAGATGATCAGGGTATATTCTGGAATGCTACAATTTTATCTTTTCCAGGTTATTTTAATAATTCCCTACAAATCACAGAGCACCAGGCAATCTCATCTCACACTTAAAACAGCATGAGCTTCAATCTACAGGGTTATAAATATCTTTAAGACCACCCATTCTTTTCATTAGCAAGAAGGGATAATATCTCTATTACAGATGCAGGAACACGCCCACATTATGCTGCCTTTCACAGAATTACTGATCAAACTCCTGGATATTTTTTTTTTTCTGATTTTCTCCTCACTTTTAAACTTAGATCACCTACTTCAAGTCTTTCTCTTCACACTGGCCTAGTATATGAGAATGATCTTATTTTAATGATAATAAAAATACTGCCCTTCACCAATACTGATGCATGTTGATTATGATGTATCTGTCCCTTCTAGATCTTTCCATTTTATCTGCTCTAGAATGATTCTCTATTTTAAAGCTACCGTTGGGCCTCTTTCTCTTTTTGTTCCTTATCAGAGTTTGTAATACAGATTCCATTAAGTATCACACTACTTGAAAAATAGTTACCTAACTTCTTTTGGTATGAGGGCGCCACATCTTCAGGAGGCATCTAATACTTCCCAAAATGAGGGCACTGACTGCTTCTTGATGATACCAAGTCTAAACCAAGAAAAGCAGCAGGTCATCCAATGCCTCCAATAAACAGATTTTCCCTTTCTGTATGGAAAAGTATCCAGGCCGGAATAAGAGCAGCTTAGATGTCCTCAAAGCCTTTACAATTTAATCAGGAGGGAAAGTCATTCAGAGAAAACATTACAGAGCCAACTACATGTCAGAAGATAAAGTCCTATCTTCTTAGTCTTTATACAAGCCCTTTGGGTCATAAGCCTCTGGGCCTCTGCATCCTCCTCCAACCCTCCAGATCCGAGTCCTGCATTCTGGACACTCTGGGTGAGGAGGAGTTGGCACACAGCAACTCCTCACTAAATTGTTAACAACTACTTTTTTTTTGAGTCTGTAAGTCTCTTTTGAGAGTATAAAGACGTCTTGAAGACCCTTCCTGCTTCTACCCCTTTGCTTCAAGGCCACTTCCTGTCTCCTTGTCATCTGGCAAGCTTCTTCTTCCCACTTCAAATTCAGCTGTTACTTCCTCTCATAAGTCACCCTTACTTACCCATGTAGTTCCACACGTTTGAACACTTATCACATTGCTCTCGTGACATCCACATCCTGTCTTCCACCAGGCTGTGAGAAAGCAGGGGGCAGGCAGAGACTATGCTCTTGCTGTCCCCATCACTTAGCTGTGGAATCTGGTATCTACGAGATGTTTAGTAAAAGTAAGGGGCTTGAGAGCCAGAGGCACAGTATAGTAATTAAGTGTGATGTTCTGCCGGGTTCACATTCAAGCCTTGGTAATTCCTATGTGGGTGGCCTTAATAAACTTATTTAACTTCCTTAAGTTTCAGTTTCTCTTCTATAAAACAAATGCAATAATATCTACCTCAGAAGGTTGTTGCTATGAAAAAAAAATACATGAAGGAATGCAGTAAGTTGGAAAATGGTAGTTATTAACATTATCACTATTGTTAAAGAATAGCTTAAAGATAATAGGGTAAAATTTTATATATCCATGTTGAGGATAGAACGAATAGCAAAGGAATGAGTCAGAGGTAGGTAATCCACAGCAGGATTTCTGGAGGAAGACAATTTAAAATGTAAAAATTGTAATGCACATGTAACTCACAGCAGAGGCAAAAAATATACACAGCAGAAATAATGACACCAGGAGGAGACAAATAACATGAAAGCATGTTGAAAGAGGTGTCAAAATAATGGGATGTGGAGAGAGAATGGTGGGAGATGTTGAGCAGCGGGCAGAGTCACTAAGATGGGACATGAACCCCTGGGAAACTCTCAAGTCACAGAATGAGGCAAGTGTTGAAGATTTTTCATGCAGTTACATGTAGGATCTTTTGAAGTAGGAAGAGATTTGAAAGAAGGGGGAACAAATGAGAAAGACTGCATAATCCCAGAAACTCCCTGTAGATAACTGTAAGGCTGTCCCTTACAAATGCTAATGCATTCATGCTCAGTGAGTCCACTTTGGAATGTGAGGAGGCGGGAGGCAGAAGAAAGTGTTTATTAACCCTTGTTGACCAAAGCCACTCACTTATTGACTCTGAAGTTGAAGCAACCTGAAAAACAGCTTTACTTGAGAATGCCCAGAAGTGAGTTAATGGTCAATCCCAAAGGTGAGAAGAATAAGCACTATTCAGCATTTGCTGATGAAGACTTTTGCATATCTGAGCTCCTGCACTTCAAAGGGGACTTCCTGCTGGGTTTGCTTACTGCTCTAAGTCCTTGAATTTAAGGACAGGGAGACGTTCTTGTAAGTGGAGAATTTTGAGTAGTCCGATGCTGACCAATAGAGTTGTACTTCCTATTGGAAAATGATGCATCTTGAATGTTATTAATTGAACAAACTACTCCCTCACCTGGACTCCCAAGTGACTTTTCTCTAGTAGTTGTAAATTGGCAGGCATTAGAATTCAATTGTGAAGTGCCTTACAGCTATCCTGATGAAAGTTTGGCATGCAAAGTCAAAAGTTCCTTCACCAAGAGGTCAGGTCACTAAGGTTAGGGTGCCTAGAACTGCATCATAAGTGTCAGAATACTGCCAGTAAGACTGCAAGCAGAGTGTGGAACTGGAAGAACCCAGAGGTGAGGTATAGCAAGATGATAAATAGTCTTATCTCCCAGGGTTAAAGAAATAGCGCCACGGAATCTGGTGAACCTGAATAGTGTTTGGAAACAGAATTTTAAATTTAGTTGTCTTAGTAAGAATTGAATATATTTCAGAGGAAGAAAAGTGTACTTTTCTCCATCTAAGTACCAAGGGGTTAATTGTATTGTTTGTTAGATATAGTCATGACCCAACCCACCAGTGCCATTTCCCCCATGTTGTGCTTAGCAGTGATTATATTTGTTAGAAGTTGGATCTGAAAAAGTGACGACATTAAGATCCAAGTGCCAACAATTTCCTAGCATTGTATTCCAAATAATATTTGCAGACACCAAAATGAGGCATTAATTACCTTAAATGTTATTTTTAAATATCCATAAAATTCATTTAAAATAATTTTTGTCTT